TTCCATGAACCCGGGTGATCTTCGAGCGGCCCTTGATCCCGGCATATAGAGCCCACGGCCGAATAACGCATTGCATCAAGAACTCACGAGTGAACGAGAGCGCAATGGTGTAGAATGCCACAAAGGCGATATCGAGCTTCCCCTTGCCGTACAGTACTGGGCCACCAGGTGTCTCCGGAGGCAACGGATAGGAGAGGAATATGCCATAGTGTATCGGGTTGGCTTCTGTCGGGTTGACGGCGTATGCGGTGAGGAGAATGGCAAGGAGAGCGAGAGGCAGGACCCAGGTGTGTTTTAAGCAGACGTCTTTGGCCCGGCGAAGCCAGGACCTGGCTCTCTTTCGCTTCGAGTGCGGCTTGCTGGACAGTCCGTTGCCGTTCTGGAGTCGCATCTGCAAGGGATCGCAAAAGCAGTGTCAGCGATTATCTCACATATTATTTAGTCAACAAACCACAAGGGACTCAAGCCGTTAAGTACCTTCTGCTGGGTGAGCTCTGCATGACCACCAGCCATGAGAGGCGTCTTCGAGTCGTCCTTCATGGTGCGAGTGTCTGGCGAGGGCCTGTCTCTTTGCGAGTGGACGGGAGAAGGCTGGAGGAGGTTTTTTTTTTTTTCTCTCTCTCTCTCTCTCTCTCTCGCGCTCGCTCTCACTGCTCAGGAAGCCCGCGGAAGGACGATAAAAGGGAGGACGTCGATCTCGGCGCCAGCACGATGATTTAGTCAATTCTTTTCTCCTCTTTTCTTTTTTTCTTTCCTTTTTGTATTTTAATCTTAAAAATTAAATGCTTCCTCTTTTTCTTCCTCTTCCATAAAATCTCGGGCCTTTTCTTGCGGGTTCAAAGGAAAACTTACTTGACCATTTTTATTTTAATCCCCTTTTTTATTTTCCTCGGCTGGGGAACTTTCTTCTTCCCCTTGCCTTGTCGCGTGTGCTTGTATAACTTTCTTATCCAGTCACTGCATCCAGCATGAGGCATAAGAAAGGATTGCCAGGGGCGATAAAGGAAGAGAGAGGCTGTTATGACATAATTAACTATCCATAATCAAACCAGTGGGTTATTCATTTTGCTTACCCCTGGGTGTAGGGCTTTCTTCTCCTTTTCGCCGCTCAGCAGCTCGATAACTATCAATCCAGTTCGGCACCGGCACAGCAGGGTTTCCCCCTTGGCTAGCTCTGCTGTATACCTGTATACATGGGCCGCAGTACCTGCAGAGAAACCATATTGGGGCCGCCAGAGGCTTGCTCGGCATATTCAGCTACATCATGGCCTGGATGGCGACTTTTTAATTAAAGGGGTAGAGGGGTATACTCCATACTGCAGCTTAGAGGTCAGCGATTCCCAACAATGGGACCTTTTACATGAAATGGCGATTGAACAGCACTATGCGAATGATCCGAGTATACTTTTTACTCTTTAAAATCACTTCGATGCTCTCAAATGAACCTCTATCAACTTCACAGCTGCCGGATTTTCGGCTCTCGCCTTAAGGCGTTGATTATGTAACGTCAACATGGCAAGGGTTATGGAGCAACCGAGGATTTGATATTTGATATCGGACGTATAATTTTTTTTTTTTTATATTAGGTTGATATACAGTGTAACCGCGGAAGATTTTGAGTGATAATAGCAACAATAATAGGATTATAGACAGTTTGTTACCCAATTCCACCAGTTCAGTTATTACGGGTATATACAATTTTTCTACGAAAACTCCGGCTTCCGCTCCCAGTTCCACCTTATTACTGTCTCACTCGATTGCTCCTATGTCCATAGTGATGTGGCGATAGCCAGCCAGATTACACATGGTGGGAATTCAGCTTCTCTTCTCCACCAGTCCTCTCCAGCCGGGCGGCATGCTGGAAGCTGCTCCTCGTTTTCCAGGCTGGGATACCGATGTATTTAACACCACTGGGATCTGTGAACATGAATTCTACCTCCTCCAGTGTCTTGCCTGCAGTGTCAGGGAACATTATGAAGACGTGGATAAACATAGCAGCGCAGAATATTCCAAAGAGCAAGTACGTCTTCCACTGGATGTTGACAAAGGCTGGAGGAACGAAGTAGCCGAGTGCAAAGTTGAAGGCCCAGTTTGACGAGGTCGCGAGGGCAACAGCTTTTCCACGGACACGCAGAGGGAAGAGCTCAGGAGGATAGATCCAGGAAACGGGTCCCCAGGTGGGTGCAAAGGAGGCAACGAAGAGATAGGAGCATGCAATGACCGCCTTGCTGGGGGCACCGGTGATCTCCCAGGACTCAGCCTCGACACCGTTGAGACCACCTGGTGGAGCAGGGCGCCCACGGGCAGCCAGCAGGCCGGCGTTCACGAAGAGAAAGGTCATCATAAAGAAAGCTCCAACAAGAAGAGGGAGACGTCGGCCCCAGCGGTCGATCCAGAGAAGAGCTGGGACTGTCATGGCGACGTTGATCACATACTGGATGCTGCTGGAAACAAGAAGGGTGTTTCCGGTCAAGCCAGCCATTCCAAAGACATATCTATCGTCCCTTCGTTAGATTCCAAAATCACTTGTGAAGTGTAGTACCCCAAAATACATGAAAGGAATGGATTGGACTTACGTGATGTAGTACATCATGACGTTCATACCGGTCAATTGACTCCAGATCTGGGTAAAGACACCGATATGGGTACGGTTGATCATGTTAGGCTTGAAGAGCTCAAGATAGGAGACATCAGCGTTAGCTCGTTCAAACTCGCAGATATCCTTGATCTCCTGCAGTTCACGCTGGACGAAAGGCGAGTCTGGGTCACCGTGGCCGTGGACCAGAGTGAGAACTCGGTGGCACTCCTCCCACAGGTCCTTACGGGCTAGCCATCGTGGAGACTCTGGGAGCGGAATCATGCCAAAGAATAAGAGAACAGCGGGGATGGGCCTGCAGTCCCCATGGAACGCGGAAAGCAGCAGGACCTTTGATAAAGCTGCATCCGTATGATATGCTGTTTGCAAAGTAAGTACTCTTTTTTTTTTTTCTCATGACATATGTTTAAAAGGGGGTCGGTTGGTAATATCTTACTAGAACATGATGAGGATACCCCAAGTAATTGCCCACTGCTGGCATCCGACCAGACGGCCACGTTTAGTTGGGGGTGCAACTTCTGAGATATAGACTGGAACCTGGGCTGAGCAGATACCGACACTCAGACCGTTGATGACTCGGCCAACGATCAACATGGCAATATTCTGAGATGCACAAGTGATGACAGAGCCAATGATCCTAGTGAGACCTTCTTAGCTAGCATGTTCATGAAGGAAATGCCAAATAAAAAAGAAGACATACCAGACGATTGCGCCGACCATAATGGCCTTCTTTCGACCAAGGCGATCAGAGACGAAGCCGGATATCAACGCTCCCAGCCATGAGCCGCCAGCCATGGATGCAGTGATACCGCCCTGCACAGCAGGTCGGGGGCCGCCGCACTGGCCCGGGCCGTATTGGTTAAAGTAGCATTTATACTGGTCAGTCCCTAGGATGGCTGACATCGACGAGATGTCGAAGCCGAAGAGGCCACCGCCAATGACGGCGACGGCAGCAATGACATATATATTGCCAGTGTTGAACATGGTATCAAAAGAACGCTGCCTGCGCTATCCTCCTCAAGGATCGAGTAGTGGTGATATTATTAATAGAAAGACAAAAGGAAAGGCCCCCTTGTGACGCAACATAGGCTGTTTATATGTTGGCTCGCTCAACTATACACAGAAAACAAGAAGAGGAAGAGAAAAAGGAGAGGAAAGAAGAAAAGAAAGAGAGGAAGAGACCAAAAGGAACGGCCGAGGACTATTTATGCAAGAAACGGCTGCGGGGGGGCGCACAGTAGAAGCTTCCATGGGAACGGGCATCAGCTAAACCGCATGGACGCAAGTACATCTCCATGTTTGTTCTATGACGATTGGAAGGCCTGTCAAGTCCGGCTCAGGCAGAGTTTCTTCTACCTTCCTACATACCTTACTACCAGTGGCCTCCCCGCAGCAGCATGGCTGATGGCGGCGACCTCCCCCGCAAACGCTCTCCTGATCACACTGAGGGCAAGGCTTTTGTACCATGGTAGGACGAGGAACTGACAGCCTGTGTCGCGTGCTCATGTATCACTGCAGCAAATGCGAAAAGGAGGTGGGTATGAGCAGTCTACGGATATGGTTGTCTGCTTCGGACCCAATCTGCTGCTACCAAATTAGCTGCCATCATGGCTCCATTCCAACTGACCATACCGCAACTTTCATTTCAAAGAGTACTTCCCTTTGGGCCGTTGTACCTCAACTTGCATGCCTCAGCAGGAAGAAGCAAAGAAAGTAATATATTGGCCATGCCGCAGGATCGGCAGCTCTTGCAACCCTCCACTTAGTTAATGCTTGCTTGTATGTACTGCGGAAGTAGACTGTACCTCTGCTGCAACGAAGACCCCTACGACGGCCAGAGTACCAGCAACTCTCTCATGCCTCTTGCGGCCAGCCGCCCCCTTGTCCTTATCCCCGGAAACTAGAGACGAGAGAAAAGCTCCCATTCGCGGGAGCCGCAAAGTCGCCTGCGCGGTGGCAAAGCTTCTGCTGCCGTCTGCCGTCATGGCCGCTGAAACCCTGAGATGTAACAGCTCCATCTTTTTAAGGCCTTTTGTTCTTCCTGGCCCGTTTGGCTTCTGACCTCCAGTACTTACTTTTACTTCTTCTTTCTTTTGCCGCTTGGTGTCATCGGGCTGTTTCAAGTGGCAGTCCGGGAGGTCGGAAAAGCCCGAATGCATGGGCAGAGATATGGATACTTCAACTGCTTAAAATAAAATATAACTAACAGTTTGGGCTCTTAACCTAAGTGTATGGAGGCTGGGGTTGTCGGCCGGTCTAATACGCACATAGAAAGGATGTGCAGTTCAATGTAGATGGAGAGATGTAGGGGATGTCGAAGGATGAAATGATGGTGGGTTGATGTCACAGCGAGAAGCTGCCAAAACTACCG